TGTGGAGACGGCCGGCAGACAGGGATATCTGGCTGCTCTGGCGGCGGGCTGTCCCCGCCGCTGCACTGCTCCATCACCAGCGTGATGGTGTGCTCCTCGTCGAAGTGTGCGAATCCGACCAGCACATCGACTGTGCACCGAAAGCCTCGTGCGGAATCTGGAAGCGAAAGCTACGCGTCCCCGATGCCATGACTCTCTCGTGGCGGCGAACGTCTGGCTGCGAGACGGCCTTGGCACATCCTGGTCCGAAGCAGCGCTATGTATAGTCACACACCTGCACCGAGACCGGCCTGGCCCGCAGACCTCCCACGAATTGGTGAATTCGCCTGCCTGGTCGGACATGTAAGCCGTGCGCAGTTCCATCCTGAACCGCAAAGGGAGACTTGGACAACAAAAAAATTGCATTTGTGCAGAAACGTCTTCTCATTCGGCGGTTCGGCACTGGGCGGAAGGGGAGGGAGGAGGGGGGGTCTGGCTCGGGACCTCTGCTCAGCGTGGGGACTTGGACAACAAAAAATGGCATTTGTGCAAAACGTTTTCTCATTCGGCGGTTCGGCACTGGGCGGAAGGGGAGGGAGGAGGGGGGGTCTGGCTCCGGACCTCTGCTCAGCGTGGCCGCTTGCAACACTGCGCCCCGCGGGGAAGGCTCCACCTGCCCGAAAGAGGCGCCCAAAAAACAGCCGAGAGATCTGCTCCATTGGTGGTGGGGGGGGAGGGCGGGGAGCGAGGCCCGGCGCCGCTCGGCGAAACAAGGAATGAGGCAGCGATCAATTTTGAAGGGGCCCTGGGACACACAAAGAGATACACACAGATAAAAAGTTTCCCCATCTCTTCCCATCTTTTCGGGGTTCTTGTCTCCCCCACCACTTCCCATATTTTCTGGGGGATCGACGATTAATTGTGTCTGTGTTTGTTTTCCCTCCTGAAATTTTCCCACTCGCATCCCGCGAGGGGAAACGTAAGGGAAAGACCAGCTCGGGGGGAAGCAGGTCGACCCAGAGCCGGCGATGCATCGGCGACCGGCCCGCGAGGGCAGAACCGCACGCTCCTGGGCATGACGGGGCCCTCGGGCTGCCCATCGACCATGCCGGGGCGATTGGGTGCCGATGCCAAAACGCATGACAAGGGTGCGAGGTAAAGATGTAAGGGCCGTGGAAGGCCACGCTCACGCTTTTCGAACAGGGATGGCCAGCGAAAGTCGCCGAGGATGGGCCGAAGGGGCAAAGCTGAAAGAGTTACCTTGGAAAGTGACTCGTCCATGCTATGCGCTTTGACCCTGGGCTAGGCTCAAGTCGGGCACATCGTCCCACAGGCGGATTTAGGAAAGAAACTTGAAACTACTACTCACAACTTAGAAAATAGCCAACAAGCCATCGAAAAATCGTCCCCAAACAATTTCTTGCCTGTCTTCGAATATTCCTCCTGTAGAGGGACATGCCCGACTGTAGGGCTAGGCAAGCCTTGACCTCCGATGTCTTGTTCGTACTCCGCGACGAGCTCTTCGTCCCAGATCCCTGGTGGATGGTCCAACGGCCTGGCGAGGGCCCCCCGACGCCGAGAACTGCGAGAAAACCTCCGCCTCGATTCTTGTTCCGGCGCCGGAGGTCCAGAGGAGTCCCCCCTGCCGGCGCCACTGACGAACGAGCGGCCCCCTCCCCTCCCAGATGTTCGGGCGCAGCTGCAAAAACCTGCATCCTGATTTTTCCAGGCGCTGGAGGTCTGGGAGCCTCCCCCGTCGGCGCCACCGACGGACGAGGGACCCCCTCGCCCCCCCACGGCTGCCCAGACGCGGCAGGCCCACGGGTTGCGCACTGCTGCCGCACGTCCTCCTTGCGGGGGGCCCCCACGGGGCTCTGCGATCGGAACCCCTGGGAGGTCTTCGCAAGGACGATTGAGAACTATAGAGGGCATAACATCCCGCCACATAATAACCACCCTGAAAAGCGAAGCCGTTTAGTCAACGCACCCAAGAAGGAATCGAATGGGGTAAAGCCGAGTACCAAACGCCAACTATCGGGTCTTAGTACGCCCGAGGGAGAGAACCATGAAACCAGAGGGAGAGAACCATGAAACCAGATTGGGTCATATTGAACCCAAGATTGAATCGTATCGCACCGGATACAGCGGGAGGAAACAGAACTGAGCGGGACTACGCCACATTGGGCCTGTGTTCGACCACGGATAGACCAGCACCGATGCTGAATCTAACTTTTCAGGCGATGCATTCTCATGCCACCCAGCTCCGACGGGGCTAGGACGAGGACAAGCCCACTCCAGAGCGTTCCAAGAACGCTCTCAGGGCGCTCTGGGGCGCTCTGAGAAGGCCGCGGCGGCCGAGACATCCTCCAGAGCCGCTGGATCTCAAAGATTCTCGATCCTCACCCGATTCGATCGTCGCCCTGTCTGCTTCTGAGCAGCCCCCGACCACCACGACGGAGGCGAGGCAGACTCGCTGCCCGGGGCTGGGGCTCGGGGGAGCGGCCCCCGCTCGAGCACCAGCCCTAGGTCGGGCATGTCCTCCTACAGGCGGATGTGCGAAGAAACATGACATACAGTCGGGGCGTTGACCTAAGGAACCCTAAATAAGGAACGAGGCCCCTTTTTTCCCATGAATTAAACTTCGATTTCCCATCGGAACCCTAAGCAAAACCAAAGGCGAACTGCAAAACAACTAAGGAACACCGAGCCCCTCCCCAACGGAAAGGGTTCCTTCCTCAGCGCCCCGACTGTAAAGTCAACAGTGATTCGAACATCGCAGAAGGAAGTAGTAGAAAAGTCGTCCCCGGACTGTGTTTGGAATATTCTTCAACATTCCTCCAGTAGAGGCACATGCTCGACCGAAACACCCGCCTGGGAGGCCACCAAAGCCTCACCCCGCCCGCCCCAGGTCCCGTCACACCAAACCCCTGGCCAGGGATGCCCGCGGCTGCCGCCGTCGGGGGGCGGGGACGCCACTCTTCATGCTGCACGTGCTCTCACAATTTTATTATGTTTAGGGGGGGGGAGGGTTGCTGTTGTTTTTTTTTTGGGGGGGGGGAGGGGGGCGGGGAGGCCACTTTGGGTCACCACTGGACGCCGCCTTCACCCCCGGGGGAGACGAGCGCAGCCGCCCGACCCCGCGCAGAACGCCGACCCCCTTCGACGGCGCCCGCCGTCGGAGAGGCCGGCGCCGACCGCGGCACCCACGGCCGACTGACCTCGGGGCGACTTCGTACGGCAGGTTCGTGCCGTGCCGACCCCAGCGTTGGCTTTTCACACCGCAGGGGATCGTTCGACCTCGAACGATCGGCCGCTGCCGCAACGTCCGATCGTTCAACATCTTGGGCGTGGCTTAATGGGGGGGTCACAAATGGGGGGGTCAGAAAAGGTCCCCTTTCGTGCCCCTTTCGGGCCCCTCCAGAGCCCCAGGGGGCTCGTTCAGGTACCGTTTGGGTACCTTTTCGGACCACCCTCGCCACCCCCCCATTTATGACCCCCCCATTGCGCGGCGCCCAAACATCCATCGGTTCTGGGTCGCCGGCGGCGTTCCACCTTGAACGCCCGCGCGGGGGTCGCCGCTGGTCGACACGGCGCCAACCTGCCGTGGGCGGTCGGCGCCGAGGGGCCGAGATCGGCCCTCGGACTTAAGGATGCTCCAGCCCTACGGGAGCCTCGACCGCCAGGAAGACCTTCGAGCACCAAAAAAAGCACCGAATCTGGAGGGCTTTCACGTGTCCGGGCCCTGGGAGGCGATACGCCAAGTTCGGCCCTCGGACTTATGATGCTCCAACCTACTTGAGCATCGACCACCAGGAAGACTTTCGAGCACCAAAAAAAGCACCGAATCTGGAGGGCTTTCACGTGGCGGGCCCTGGGAGGCGATGCTCGTTCGACTCTGTTTCGGCAACGTTCCGGGAGCTCGAAATCATTCCTGGGACGTGGTCCTCAAGTACGATGGGAGCAACATGACCTTCGACCCCCCTGGGACCGCAAACCTTACGATTGGGTGTGCGGTACGTGGTTCTCGGTACGGGGAATAAGAATCCCGCTATCCCACCACAGTGGAAGCTGAGTTTTGGGGTACCAGAGGAGAAAAAAACGCATCTCGGTCAGGGCGTCATCGCCTATCCGCACCCTCCCGCAGTCAGAGCGAGGGGGCCGATGGCTTTACGCTCCAACCCACCCGCGTCTCGGCCGACGACTCGCTCACAAATATGCGATGTTTTGATGTTGTTCGATTCGGGGTTCCCGCAAACTCCGACACTTTCCCCAAGTCCTGCTTTGCATCCGGAGTCGTTTTGAACAACATCACGACCGGAGGTCTTTGGGCGATTCTAGCCTCCAGAGGCCCTCGCCAGGCCCCGGTACCATCGTAACATGACTCGGGATGGCAAACCAGCCCTGGGGAAAGGGTCAGGACTTCCAGAGACCGCGTTTTGAAAAATCAGGACATCGGACATCTGGGTTTGGAAGACACGGTCGCCTGTGCCTGCACGACACGCCGACGGTCCACTCGCGACTGACCCACACGGATTTGAGACATCGACGCCCGCCGTGGGCTGTCTGGCACTGTCCACGGCCCTGTGACAATCGGACGCCCTCCCCAGCCCGACAACCCCATCACCCGTTGTCGCTATTGCGGTGGTTAGTAGCCCCCGCAATTACTCGCGTAGCGTAACTTACGCGAGCCGAGCCGATCTCACCCGAATGCCGAATACTCCAATGCTGCAAGGGCACTTGCCGCCATCCGCTCATAATGAACTCCTGGACCTCCTCTGGCCACCGTCCCGCCCAATGTTTCCGCTCGCTAGGGCAGGAACGAGGACGCTACGGAGGAGGAGGAGGAGGACGACGACGACGAGGAGCAGGAGGAGCAGGAGCAGGAACAGCTGGAGCAGGAGAACGAGAAGGACGAGGAGGAAGAATGCGCAGGACATTGAGGGGGGGAATAGAGAAACGGAGGAAAGAGGACGAATGACGAGGAGGATCCGCGTTCCGCTGCGAACGAGTGACGAGGAGGATCCGCGTTCCGCTGCGATGACGACAGACACCCCTCACGAGCAAACAGATGCAAAAGCGCCAGCGCAGGGGCCCGCTGGGGAGGACCATCTAAGTAGACGCAGAGGCTGGAAGAGCAGCAGAGAGGTCGGGTTATGTCGGGCGTGTCCCCCTACTACAGGCCGACGTTGGACGAAGAATAAGAAACAATCAAAGTTACTATCAAAAAACGCGCAAGCATGCTCCAAAAATCGTCTCCGCACTATCTCTGGACTATTTCTGAATATTGCTCCTGCAGAGGGACAAGCCCGACTTGCAGGTCGGGTCCGGCGGCGTGTTCGTGCGAGGCAGGGCCGGGCCCCGCGCCGGGGAACGGCGCCAGCCCTCCGCGAGAGGGCGACGACGTTGCTGTGCCGGAGCCCCATGTGGACTTCCACCTCCCCGCCGGGGCCCATGATGTTCTGGTAGTCCTGGTGCCCCCGGCTCGCCCGGGAGGGGCACCTCCGCCTGCTCCCACACCGCACTCCCTCCCGCCCGAACCCTGCGCCAAGGGTCCCGACCTCCCCTTCCCCTCCTCCTCCTCTGCCTCGCCCCCCCCCCCCCCCCTCCTTCACCCAGGCATCCCCGCCCCTGCCTCCTCCTTCAAGCCCGCCCCCCCTGCCCCCCCCCCCCGCCCACCATGTTCATCCTCGCTCGTCTTCTCATGATTCTCATCCTGACTCCCCGCATTCCCATCACCCTCCCCACCATCCTCGAGCGAGCCGCGAACACAGGCAAGCAGCTGAGCACAAGCGCCATCCGTCGGGCCGCCTTGGGCACCAGGCTCAGAAGGTCTGCGCAACACACTCGGGTAGCAAGTGAGCGACCTGGCGATCCCGCTGGGAACCGGCTGTATGGATGGGCAAGCTGCTGGAAGACTCGAAAATAAAAAAGAGGGGGATGGCCTGCTCGCCCCCGTGAGGGCAGGCCACGTCACGCCCCCGTCCCACTTGTGGCTCTGACGTGCCGTGCCCCCCCCCCCCCCAAGATCTGGCGAGAGGGCTCCACGGAGCAAGACCGAGACACACGGTGAGCCAACAACCGGCCAGTCCATGTGTCCACAGATTGGTCGATTAAGGGCGAACGTTAAAGAATAGTCAGAACATTTTCAAAAATAGTCAAAAATACAGACAAATCGAATTTTCCTCCTTATTTGGGGGGGGGCACCTCAACACATCGAGCACCCCCCTTGGAGAACCCCCCCCCTGGACACCGGCCTCCCTACTAACTGAGGGGGGGCGGGGGGAAAGCCCTTCGAACCAGGGGGGTGGGCGCCCACTCCCCTTACCGAAAGCGGAAAGGGGGGGGGAGGGGGAGCTCGAACTGGGAGGGGGGGGGGGCTCCGCCCCCCGCCCCCTTCGGGGTGAAGGGGAGGGGGGGTTCGAACGGGGGGAGCGATGCCAGGGGGTGGGGGGTTCGAACTAGGGAGGGCCCCCCCCCCGTGCCCAGTGAGAGGGGGGGTCGAACCCGAGGGGGGGGATCCCCCTGCGCAAGGGGGGGAGGCCAAGGGGGGGGTCCGAACCAGGGGGAGGGCCGTCGTCATCGCCGTCGTCGATGGGCGGAGGGAGGGAGGGGAGGGAGGGGTGAGGGAGGGAGGGAAGGGTGAGGGAGGGAGGGAGGGAGGGAGGGGAGGGGGGAGGGTGGGAGGGAGGGAAGGGAGGTACTCCATCATCGTCCGATCCTGCTGCTATTTCGCCTCGTGGTCGCCCCTCTCCTCCCTAGACTCCCCTTTTCTGCTTGTGCTGCTCTTCCTCCTTGTTCTTATCCTCCTCCTCCTCCAATTCCGCCGTCTCCGCTTTCCCTTCCGGAGGAACAACAAGCAACATAAACATTGACTGTGGGCGCTCCACGCGGATCTCTTGGCTCGGCACCGGGCCCCCCTCCTTGGCGCGGAGAGCGAGCGTGCAAGGGGCGGAAACGCCGCCAGAGGGGTCCAGTGCCGATCCACGAAATCCGCCCCAGGGCTCCGAACGTTTCTGCTCACGCAGGCCGTTCCTCCTCGATCCTCTTCGTCAAGGTCCTTCTCGGCGGTCGCTGCTCGCTTGCAGTGTGGCTGCTGCGGGTTTGCAGCGCGGCTGCGGCTGAGCCTTCCCTTGCCAATGCCGCTGGCCGTCGGTGCTCCGCCCGGAGCCTGCACCCCACCGTGAGGCGGGTCCTGCTCGGACAGCCGCTGCTTCTTCATGACCTTCGCCGCCATGCTCTGGCCGTCGTGGCCCCGGCGTCGCACACACTGCCACACGACGCCTCGGCAGCAGAGAAGGCCGAGAACTTTCTCCCCGCGAGGACAGCCACCTCCTTCTCCTCCTCCACCACAAGCATCTTCTCCCATTCCATCTCCCCCTCCCCCTCCCCCTCCTCCTCCTCCTCCTCCTCCTCCTCCTCCTCCTCCTTGTGCTATGCCCTCGGATCGGAGGCTGGCCAAACACCGGATCTCTGTACGTTTGGGGGTGGCGTCCTTGACCAATATGTTGCCAGGCAGCGCTGTACAGCCCGGGAGGGACAAAGAGCACCAAGGCCGGGCGCATCGTCTCACACCAGGTGTCTTCCCCGCTCGCTTCTCGCACAATGCTCGAGCAAGGACCAACCGTCCCGACACGCCGATAGGCCTCCCACGCAGTCTGCCTAGAACCCAACCGTGCTCTGCGAACCGACATGCATTGCTCTTAGAACATATGCCCGGAGCGCGCGCGGAGCGCGCCAAGGGGGCGGCGCCGAGGCGCCGCCTGCAGGGGGCCCCAGCGCCGATCCAGGAAATCCGCACGCAGCGCCACAACTGTACGTTTATGCCGGTGTGTCTTGTTCTTTCGGCCGCTGGAAGCCCTTACCCGGCCCCGGGACCGCCAACAAGAGATGACTCAGGATGAAAAGCCGGTCCCGGGGAAGGGGTCCAGACCTCTGGGGGTCGGCGCTGTCACAAACTTACGACATCGGGGGTCTGGGCCAGCCGAGCAGTTTTAGAGCCTCCCCAGAGACCAGCCACGAAAGGGCAGCCTCTAGCCCAGACTGCACTGGAGTCCTCCAAGGCCACTCACATCGGACCCCCGACCCAATCAGACCACCACCCTTGTATTGTGAGATCCGGCGTAGCCTATGACCCACGTCACGCGCAGTCAAGACTGATAGTCAGCATGTGCGACGATCGAGGATATGCCAGCCGCCGGGACGCCCATGCCTACGCTTTTCGAGCGGGGCTGGCCGCCAGCGGCAAAGGGTCAGTGATGGGCCGGAGAGGCAAGGATGCGAGGGGTACCCTCGGGGGGAGAGGCACCCGCCCGTCCTCACCATCGGCCTCGACGGCAACGCGGGTCCCCGGACGGGGCGTGGCACTGGGCCTGCCGAGGAGCGGCGAGGAGGGCCCCGTCGCCGGGGCAGGCCGAAGTACCACCACCGCGCGCAGTCCTGCAGCATGCCCTGCACTGCCCGCGGCGCTGCACGGCAGGTCTTTGGCTCACGTGGGGAACGCCTGGCGAGGTCCCTCCAGCTGTGGGAGCTCACTCCAGCACGTGTCAGGATCTGGCGAGGTGGGTGTTTTGGAGCGTCAGGCAACCTGGAGATCAAACGATGACCTCACACATACACACACACACACACACCTCGTGATCTGAGCTCAAACCGAGCCAGAACTATTCTGTCCTCAGACGGCCTGGAGTTATACAACATTACCTCGCACAGATCGACGTTTTAACTCAAACCCAACCATAATTCAAAAAGTTACATTCTTGGACACCTGGCCACAAATCGAAGTACTCAAACAAGGCTAAAGAATGGCTGACACCATCCAAAACGTGCTTGGAACAGGTTTAGACACGTCTCGAGGACTGTGCGCGAGCATGCAGCAGAGCTACACATGCAAAACATGTGCTACGGGGGCTGGCGGGATAACAGTCCTTTTCGGCGCTATTCTTGCCGACCAGCCACAACTGGGGGAGCTGTGGTCCTTACCCCCCCTGGGGGAACCCATCGCATCGACGACCTCTCGAGAGAAGTGTCGAAACCAATGGGCCCCCCAGGGGGGTAAGGGGTAAGGACCACGGCTCCCCCAATTGTGGCTGGCCTGTCTTGGGGACGCTCAAACGCTTACCGGCAACCCCGACAGGCACCCCGGAGAGAGAGAGAGAGAGAGAGAGAGAGAGCCGCCCGCGCGTGCGTGTGCGCGTGCGTGTGCGTGCGCGTGCGTGTGCGTGCGCGTGCGTGTGCGTGCGCGTGCGTGTGCGTGCGTGTGCGTGCGCGTGTGTGTGCGCGCGTGTGTGTGCCGGCGCTCTCTTCCCTGCGCCGCTCACCGCAGCAATTTTAGACACAAGTTGAGTTGTGGCAGGATCTAAACACCAGTTCACTTCCTGTAGAAGTGTCAGCTTGAATCGAAGAGCCATTGCATAAACAGATCGTCGAGGAACTTGTCTGCTTGAATCGCCGAGGAGCCCCCTTTCCAGAGAGCGAGAGCCGCCCGCGCCACGCCTCGAGCAGCATCGGCCCGTGCAGGCCCCAAAGAGGCCCGACGCCCGGCGAGGGCGCCCGGCTCGACCGCATCGAGGCGCCGCGCGCGGCCGCCCGACGCCCGCGAGCCCCGACCGCCGACCAGCCACAACTGGGGGAGCTGTGGTCCTCACCCCCCTGGGGGAACACATCGCATCGACGATCGCTCGAGAGGGGTGTCGAAATGGATGGGCCCCCCCCAGGGGGTAAGGAACACGGCTCCCCCAGTCGTGGCTGGCCTGGACAGTCGGAAGCTGGGCGAGGGCTGGCAAAGCTGTGGCTGCCGAAGCGGTCTCTCCGCACTGAATAGTACACAGACTGCTTCCCGGAAGAGAAGCAAAGACAGATCCCGGAGCTCCGTTTCAGCAGCCACGGGTTCGACGGCCTTCGCCCGGCTTCTGAGACAGGGGCGTGCGCGTTGAGCAGGGGCCGACCGTTCTGGCACTCCTATTCGGCCTAGCACGGCACGATCTCTGGGGACCTCGCCTAATAGCAAGCAAAAGTCGGCTGCCTGGATCCTGAGGTTCGAGGCCAGAATCCGCACACACCGATGCCCAATGACCCCAGGAGGCAGTGGCCACGAGTAGGCCTTGGGGAGAGTCGGGGGCCCTAAGGATACCCATACCCATCGCTTCCTGATGTTTTGCGATCACGCCCGTGCCATACTGGATGAGGATGTTCTAATAACAGTGCTCGTGGAACATACAGCCGATGCATGGAAGGAGGGCAGTCTCGGCCAGGCATGCTCTGAGAATCACTCGTGCACACAACAAACAAATCTTAGACTCCTAGACACTTCTTAGGTTGGCCTTCAGTCGGGGAGATTAAGACTCGGGTACGGGGGACTCGGGTTGGCCTGACAGGGCCATCATGACAATGACAGGACCTAATCTGAAATCTGACGCGAACTCCCGCTGCAATCATGCCAGCAAAACCGGACCGTCACAAAATCCAGGACGCGCTGGTCAAAAAACGTCGGCAAACCCGAATTCCAGCTTACCTATGAAAAGCAACACGCTACAAGCATAAACTCTTGGCGCTCCGCGCGGATTTTTTGGAGCCGCGCTGGATCCCCCTCCCTGGCGCGCGGAGCGCGCCAGGGGCGGCGCCGGAGGCGCCGCCGAGGGGGCCCAGCGCGGATCCAAGAACTCCGCGCGGAGCGCCAAAAGCTCATGCTTGCGGCGTTCTTCCTCTTCGCTCACTCCACTCTCTCTACGCTCCCCCGAGGCGCGAGAGCCGGCCAGGGCGCCCCTCGCCGCTGCTCGCGCGCGGGGCGCGGGGGCGGCCCGGGGCCCGCGCCGAAGCTGCCCTCGCCCAGCGGCCCCTGGCCCGCGAGGTCGAACTGGTCGCCGAAGGCCGCGCCGGGCCCGGCGGCCTGCGCGCACGCGCGAGGGCTCGGCGCGCCCATAAGGCGAGGGCTCGGCGCGCGGGAGCGCAGCAGGGCCCGCTGATCCCGCAGGGCCCTGCCCCAGGCCGCCTCGATGACGAACAAACAACACGCACCCATACCTTTAGGTGGGACGGAGGAGGCTATGGGTGCGTGTTGTCGGATGGGGTTCCCCGCTCGAAAGGAAGCACCCCCCAGGATCCGACAACCCGCACCCATACCCATAGCCAGTCCTCCTCCCAACATTCCCCCTATGGGTGTGGGTGTGTGTTGCTCGTTCGCCACTCGAGTTATGAGAAAGCACGACGGCAGGTGTCTCGCCAATTTCGGCCTCTGGAGGACCTCACCGGGCCTCGAGTTCTGAAAAATCACGACGGCAGGTGTCTCGCCATTTTCGGCCTCTGGAGGCCCTCACCGGGCCTCGGGGCCGTCACAGGACGACTCGGGATGAGAAGCCGGTCCCGGGGAAGTGGTCCAGGCCTCTGAGGGTCGACGGCATGAACAAATCAGGACGTCGAGGGTCTGGGGCTGGAGCGACGATCGAAAACAGGTCTTAGAGTCGACCCGTATCATAAGGAGGCGATGAGGATGCAAGGTCCTTGGACGCCCGTGTCGAAGCTTGTCGAGCAGGGCTGACCGCCAGCGAAAATGGCCAAGAATGGGCCGAAGGGGAAGGATGCAAAGGTATCCTTGGGAAGGTTGCCCATCCTTACTATGCGCGTTGACTGGAACAACCCTACGCGGCGGCCTACGCGGGCAGCTCGCGGCACGCCACACCGGAAACGAAGGAGCTACGAGTGACCTTGCGCGGGCAGCTTGCGCACCAGTGTCGGCGCAGCCGCGGCCAGCTTCCCGCAGGACCCATCTTCGAGTGTAGAAAAACCACTCTCAGAATAAGCAACCCGACGGGCCAGGCCTTCAGTAAACGCGCCCAGGGAAGGGATCGAACAGGGCAAGGCTGCTTAGCAAACGCCGATTGTGAGAGTCGGGGTGTTTTTGTTCGCCACATGCTTAGTGGGTTCTGGCAGTCTTCCCTCCCGCGCCCCTCCCGCGAAGCTCACACCTCACCTCCCTCTTCCCCTCCTCCTGTCCATTCCTCTCCTCACCCACGCGCAACACATGCACGGCACGTACATGAGAAACGAGTCTACTTACAGCCGCACACATGCACACACTCCCACACTCCCACACACGCACACACACACACACTCCAACAACGCAACTCACGCATGGCGTGGTCACTGCATCATACACCCGCGACGTATGCGCCACATATTGGGCACCCACATGAGACACACGTCCAGATACAGCCGCACAAGCATCATACACATGACACGCACACCACACAACACATAGGTACAAGATTCGCAGGGCGTGGCAGGCGTGGCCAGGCGTGGCAGTTCCTCGGCACCACAAGGACAACGCTGGAGGTGGTCTCCCTATCCGTTTCGGGCTCGCAAACCGTGGCAGGCGTGGCACTTCCTCGACACTGGTCTCCCCATCCGTGTCCGCCTCGCAAATCGTGGCAGGCAGAGCCCCTCCTCGACACCACACGGGGTGCGTTAGGGGGTGGTCTCCCGATCCGTTTCGGGCTTGCAAGTCGTGACCAGATTGGCACTTCCTCGACATCACAAATGGTGCGCTGGAGGTGGTTCCCCCATCCGTTCCGAGCTCGCAAAGCGTGGCAGGCGTGGCAGTTCCTCGACACCACAAGGACTGCGCTGGGGGTGGTCTCCCCATCCGTTCCGGGTTCGCATAGCGTGGCAAGCGTGGCAGATCCTCGACACCGCATGGGGTGCACCACACGTGGTGCGTTGGGAGTGGTCTCCCTATCCGTTTCGGGCTCGCAAGGCGTGGCAGGATTGGCACTTCTTCGACATCACCACTGGTGCGCTGGAGGTGGTTCCTCTATCCGTTTCGAGCTCGCAAGACGTGGCAGGCGTGGTGTTTCTTCGACACCGCAAAGAATTCGCTTGGGGTGGTCTCCCTATCCGCTTCTGGCTCGCAAAACGTGGGGATCGTTGCAGTTCCTCGACACCACAAAAACGTGCGCTGGGGGTGGTCTCCCTATCCGTTTCGGGCTCGCAAAGCGTGGCAGGCTTTGTACTTTTTCGACACCACAAAGAATACGATGGGGGCGGTCCCCCTATCCGTTTCGGGTTCGCAAAGCGTGGAAGGCGTGGCAGTTCCTCGACACCACAGGGGGTGTGCTGGAGGTGGTTTTTCTCTATCAGATTCGGGCTCGCAAAGCGTGGCAAGCGTGGCACTTCCTCGACACCGCAGGTGGTGCGCTGGGGGTGGTCTCCATCTCCGCTTCGGGCTCGCAAAGCGTGGCAGGCGTGGCAATCCCTCGACACTGCATGGGGTGCGCAGGGGGTGGTTTTCACCGCGGTCTCTAGACGCCCCAGTCGTCCAGGCACAGCGGGCGTGTCACTTTCTCGGCACCATAAGGGTGCGCACGGGGTGGTCTCTCACCGCGGTGTCTATACGCCCTACCCTAGTCGTCCATGCGCAGCAGGCGTGGCACTTTCTCGACACCAATGGGGGTGCGCAGAAGGTGGTCCCTCACCGCGGTGTCAAAACGCCCCAGTCGCTCATGCGCAGCGAGCGTGGCACTTTCTGGACATCAGATGCGCAGAAAGTGGCCCCTCACCGCGGCGTGCGCGGTCCGCCTGGCCACCGCGTCGAGACTTGTGCGCCGCCCGCCTGCCTACCTACAGCCCCGCTCTCTTTCGTGGTCGCCATGGTTCAGACTGCTGTTCGCACGGCGCGTCAGCCTCCCAAGGCTCGACCGGCGTCACCAATGGTGTCGGAGGGGCAACGGCCACCAGCATCATTCTCGCGTGTTTCACTTCAGCTGTCATCACTCCAGACATCATATAAGTATGTGGGGTTCCTCGGTAGCGTAACTCCTCCCTTGACATCTGTTTCGTGGCGAATGGCTTCGTGTCCCCGCTAGCGAGTTTTCTGATCCGGCGCTTCGACATTGGGCGGAAGCGGGGGAGGAGGCGGGCTCTGGCTCTGGACCTCTGCGTAGTGCGACGGTTTGCAGCAGTGCGCCCTGCGGGGGGGGAGACAGACACAACAGCACCAACCACCACCAACAGCAACAACAGCAACAACAGCAACAACAACAACAAAAGGCGGCCCTCGCGCGAACCTCGCGACGCCAAAATGCGTGGCCAATTTGTCCAAAGGCCGAAACAGCGCAAACGAGCGCAAATGCTTAAATCGATCCCAAGTCCCCCTGCCTGAGGGAGGCGCCCAAAACGGCCCATTGGGGGGGGGGGGCGAGGGTGCGAGGGCCCGCGCCGATCGGCAAAAGCTAAAAATATAAGTCCAAAACGCGATCACCTCTCGCCCCTTGACATTGGCTTCGTGGCGGCTGGCTCCGTGCCCCTGCTGGGGCTCTCCGCCCTCGGGGCCGCTGCCCGGGCCCGCCCAAGGGCCCGCCCGGGCGAGCGGGCACCGCCCGGGGCACCACGGCCGAGCTCTCTCTCTCTCTCTCTCTCCCCAGATCCCTCGCGGAGTGCGCCCTGCCAGCCCTCCCTACGCCGCCTGCCCTGCCAGCTCCCCCCTCCTGCTGCCACGAGGCGAGGGCTCTGCGGGGAGGGAGGGGCAGGCAAGGAAGGACAGAGGATGACGGAGACCGGCGCGGAGTGCGCCCCGGCTCTCCCTGCGCCGCTTGCCCTGCCAGCTCCCCCCTCCTGCTGCTGCAACGCACGGGGGCAGGGCAGGGAAGGAAAGGCAGGAAGAGGGCGACGACGGCGGCCAAGGCCGCTGCCCGTTTCACAGACTGCGCTCGTACTCAGGCGGGCCGTCGGGGGGTCTATGCTGGCGCCCTGTTTTTCCCCGCCGTCCATGCTGGCGCGGATCTGGGTCCTTGTTTTGAATACGCATCGCCCAGCGCCCTTCTATACTTCCTCTTCCTCCCCCTCCTCACTTTTCTCGCGTCTGCCCTCCGTGCGATTTCATCGTCGACAACATCACCATCATCATCAGCATCATCAGCAGCAGCATCCTCACCGTCGTCATCATCATCATCATCATCATCATCATCATCATCATCATCATCACTATCGCCATGATCATCAAACTCATCATCGTCATCCGCGTCGTCATCATCGTCATCATCAGATTCATCATGATCATCATGATCATCATCACCATCATCATCGTCAGCACCATCATCATCATCATCATCATCATCATCATCATCATCATCATCATCATCATCAGCAGCATGGTCATGGTCATCATCATCAACAGCAGCATCATCATCAGCATCATCATCAACAGCATCAACATCATCATATTTATCATCATCCTCATCCTCATCTTCATCCTCAGCCTCATAATCATCGTCATCCTCATCCTCATTAGCATCCTCATCCGCCTCCTCATCATCATCAGCAACATCATCCGCAGTACCAACATCAACAAAACCACAGCAACCATTATCGTCATCGTCAGCATCGTCATCACCGTAATCACAATCAGCATCATCATCACTATCACCATCACCGTCATCATCATCATCATCATCATCCTACTCATTATCATCATCACCATGAACCTCATCATCATCACCATCAACATCACCATCCTCATCATCATCATCATCATCATCATCATCATCATCATCATCATCATCATCATCATTATGCCCATCAAACTCATCTGCATCAGCAACAGCATCAGCACCATCAACATCACCATCATCAGCATCATCATCAACATCATCACCACCACAACCATCATCATCATCATCATCATCATCATCATCATCATCATCATCATCATCATCATCAGCATTGTCATCATCATAATGATCACCAGCATCATCAGCATCATCATCATCACCATCAACATCACCATCACCATCATCAACATCACCGTCTTTTTTTATCAACTTCATCACCATAACAAACTCCAACTTCGGCCCCACTGCCAGGGCCGGCCTGCCTTCTCCACACCATTCCGGCGCACCCTTGAAACGTTCTGCGGCCCCACGACCAGTTCCACCCAGGGTCCCTGTGCCATGCCCCGCAAGCCTTCTCCACACCATTCCGGCGCACCCCTGAAACGTTCCGCGGCCCCACAACCAGCTCCACCCGAGGTCCCCGTGCCATGCCCCGCAAGCCTTCCGGCGCACCCCTGAAACGTTCCGCGGCCCCACAACCAGCTCCACCCGAGGTCCCCGTGCCATGCCCCGCAAGCCTCCTCCACACCATTCTCGGCGCAACCCTCGCACGTTTAGGGGCCCCACAGGGAGCTCTACCGGAGGCCCCCGTGCCATGCCCCGCGAGCCTTCTCCGCACAATTTTCGGCGCGCAACCCTCGCACGCTGGCCGCAACAAGGAGCTCCACGGAAGGCTCCCTCTGCCAGGGCCCGCACGCCGTCTCCACACCCTTCCGGCGCACCCCTCGCACGCCTCGAGGCCCCCACGGGGAGCTGCATCGAAGGCCCCACCGCCAGGGCCCGCATCACACGCCTTCTCCGCACCCTTCCGGCGCACACACGCTCCGTGGCCCCAGAGGGACATCCACCGAAGATTAGGTCGGGCATGTTGTCCTACAGGCGGATTTTGAACGAAAATGGAAAACATTCCATCAAAATGCCAGGGCCCGCATGCCTTCCCCGCACCCTGCCGACGCAACCCTCACAGGCTTCCTTCCCCTGTGACGAGCTCCACCTGAAGTCCCTGCGCCAGGCCCCGCAAACCTTCTTCGCACCATCCTGGCGCGCCCCTCGCACGTACCGTTAACAGGAGATATGTCGACCCCTATCCCAGGCTTCGTGGGGTTTCCGAATGGACCAGAAATTTGGAACCCAACCCTGGGATATACGATGGGGGGGGTCCATCCTCGATAGGGGTGCGTCCGAATGGCCCCCTTGGGGTGTATCCCAAGGATTTCCCAATTCTTCGGAGCGGCCAAACTTTTCGGGCGCAACTCGGGGATTGGGGGAGAAACATCGCCCGCGAACCGTGGCCTCGTAGGGAGCTGCACCCAAGGCCCCCGTTGCGGGGGCCCGCATGCCTTCATCACTGTCTCAAGGCACGCCTCACACGCTTCGTCGCCCCGGGGCGAGCTCCACCCGAGGCCCCAGTGCCAGGGCCCGCAGGCCTCCTCCTCACCATTTCGGCACACCGCTCACACATGAAGGGGAACTGGAACACACAAATAAATACACACAAATAAAAATATCCCCCATATTTTCCAATATTTTCTGTGTTTTTGTCTTCCCCACCACTTCCCATATTTTTGCATATTTTCCTGGGAGTCGACGATTAATTGTGTCTGTGTGTTTCTTTCCCTCCTGAACACATCTCGTTACCCCAAAAAGGGGCTCCACCGAAGACGATGCTCCCAACTACGGTCCTCACAACCCCACACGGTTGGTCCCTTCGCCAGGCTCGTTCTTCAACCCGCGGCCCCGAGCCTAGAAATCCGCGCGGATCTCCGACACTGCGGACTTCTGTACTGTATTTTCTTCGATGGGCCGCCGGCGGCCGTTCGGAACGATCCGGACACCCCAGGACGCTCTCGGCGAGGCGCAGCCGCTGAAGGCGTCCCGAGGCCGGAACACCGCCGAAAACCAACGGTAGTGTCCGGAAGCCTCGAGCCCCAATCACGCGATCCCCCCCCTGAGCCTCGCCCCCCCCGTCGTAGCCCCCGACTCACCCAGGTCGGCGACTCCGAAACGTGTTTTCTTGTTCTGTCTCAGCGACATGAGAGCAACGTGTATAGTGGCACCGATGTTGCGTGACTCAATTCACGTGCTGACTGGCCGTGACACACCCCGCGCGCGGCGCAACACCGAGGCCCCGTACACGACACGTCCTCTGTGATGCTGACAGTACAGTGAAGGCCAGTCCACAAGAAATCTTCCACAAGAAGCCCAACCCTGACACCCCAGGACGTCCATCGATTTTTGGTGTGAGAACGCCGCGCTGTCCAAAGCAAAACTACCGAGACCCAAGAAACCCAGGACACCCTGGAGGCAAGCAGCGCGTCTCTTGGCATGGGCCCCCACTGTAGTGCTCGTCGCTGCAGAGTGGGAGCATCGAACTGCCCAAGGGTGTCACCTGCAAGGCGCACCCTGCTGCTGGCGGGCGAGCCCCACGTGACCGATGCCCCCCACTGCGCCTGTTTCCCCCAGATCGTCGCGCTCCTGTGCGCAGCGTCGACACTCAGAGGTCTCGACCCGTTCCCCAGGACTGGTTTTAGGTCGGGCGTGTTCTCCTGCAGGCGGATATTAGACGAAAAATGAAACAATAGTCACAACATAATCAAACAATTGTTTAAAAACTGTCAGAAATTCGTCCCCATATTATTGTTCTACTATTTTGAATATTCCTCCTGTAGAGGGAGGGACACGCCCGACTTAAGACTGGCTCTCCGTCCCGAGTCGTTTTTTGCGGTCCCGGGGCCCGTGGAGGGCCCCCAGAAGCCGAAGACAGCCAAAAACCTCCGATCGTGACTTTGCTCACGACGCCAGGCACGGGGGGGTTGGACAGCCTCTCCACCCCTTGTCGCTGCCCCCCGCCTCCCCCCGCCCAGGCAGTCGTGCCTCTACTGACCGGAGGGTCAATGCCAACCTGGGTCCGTCAGGACCCTGCAGGGTCCCGCAGGATCCCGCAGGATCCTGCGCGCTGGCCCAGGTCAGTGCAACCCTGGCTTTGCAGGACTCTGCAATGGTCCAGCGCGCAGGCCGACCCCCCTTGGCAATGACCCCCGCGCCTGCACCAGCTCGATCGGCTACACGCAAGAGTGACTCTGGGTAAGAGTGACCTTTGGTGAGCGGCTTTTGGGGGGGCCGCGGGGGGACCGAACACAAGCGCGCAAGACGCTACTACTGCATCGCGTTCGGCGATATGGGAACCAATTAATGCCTGCACCAAAGGTCACTCCGGCGAAAGGTCACTCTTACGTGTAGTCGACTCGATACAGCCCCGGCAGTGGCGGACCGGGGCGGGCCGGCCTCGCCGTCCGCGTCGGGCTCCACGTCGCAGCAGCTCTGCTCGCGGCGGAGGCGTGGCCGCTGCGGCTTCGCGGCGGCGGCGTGCTGTGCAGCGCCCGCCTGCGGTCGGCCGGGGGGGGCAAACCATCTTTCATGAGACTGGTTTTCATTATTGAAGGGGCCCCAGGACACGCAAATAAATACACACAAATAAAAAGATTTCCTATATTTTCCTATATTTTCTAGGTTTTTGTCTTCCCCCCCACTTCCCATATTTTCCCAAATTTTCTGGGGGATCGACGATTAATTGTGTCTGTGTTTTTTTTCCCTCCTGAATTATGGCGGCGCGAACGAGGGGGTGGGGGGGTCCCTGGGGGAGGGCGGCTGCTTCTTTGAAGCCCCCACCTCCCCCGTGGCCCCCTCTGCGCGTGGCTGAAGTCTGGCTCAAGGGGGGGGGCTCGTTCAGGAAATGATCTTTGGGTGAACCATGCTAGCATTGCGCAGTATTGCATATCACTGCGTAGCTCAGCTCAGCACTGAACAGCATAGCACAACAGAGCATGGCATTACAGTGGCATATCATAACAGCGTACGGTTGCACAACGCAACCTATTACTGCACAGTATCCCATAGCATAGTACGTCGTTGCATCGCATACCGTCGCAGAGGCATTTCATGGCACTGCAACGCATGTCAGTGCTTTACATACAACAGCATTTCAGCGCATGTTATAACATGGAATAACATGTCGTATCCACGGAGCAGGCAGCTGCACACATTGTTCAATCGGCAATCGTGCTCAAATCGATCGGTGGAAGGCGATCCATTGCATGAAGCGCGCCGCGGAAAAGCGGGCCATGAAAGGCAGCTGGGAGAGAGAGAGATAGAGAGATAGAGAGATAGAGAGATAATAAAGAGAGAGAGAGAGAGATACGGACACAGAGAGAGACGGAGACCACTTTGAAAAGAAGAGCAAGTGGCAAGTGGCAAGTGTGCGCGTCTCCGAAGAGGCCCGACGCGCGGGCGCGCATGTTGAGAGGGAGAGACAGAGAGAGAGAGAGAGGGCGAGAGAGAGAGAGGGAAAGAGAGAGAGACAGAGGAGACAGGGAGAGAGAGAGAGAGAGAGAGAGACACAAAAGGGGGGAAACGACAGCGTGGAGAGACCATCGGGCGAGCGACGCTGGCGAAGAGAGGCTCGCGGAAACGCGAGCGCGCACGCGAGTCACCAGGGGCAGCGCCAGAGCCAAGTGCCCGCACAGGTGCACAGCACGGGTCGAGCGCGAACGCGTGCCAGGACACGGAGGGACGCACGAGGCGAGGCAGCGATCGCAAGCGCACGGGACAAAGGCAAGGAACCAGAGCGCACAAATGAACAGAAAAGCAGCCAAGCTGGGACACTCACTCCAGAACGAGAACGACCTGGCAAAAAGAGGGCGACCTGGACAGCAGCATGCTATATCATGGCATGGCATTGCATCGCGCAGCGTACTAGATCGCTGCAATGCATAGCACACCATGGGGGGATAAAAGTATTGCGTTGCAGAACGCAGCGCGGCGTAGCATGCCATTTCAAATCGTAATGTCGCATGGTGCATGGTATTCCACGGCGCGCGATGACACGACACACCATTGCGCGCCATAGCACGGGGCTGCTCCGCAAAGCGTAGCAGCTTAAACATGGGCGAACTGCAGCAAAGCGAGGCAAATCCTGAGATCCGACGTCACGAAACACATGCAACCTCGTAGAGAGAAACCCGACTGGAGCCCTGGATCACATCTTTCTGCAACATTGTTCGAGCCGGCTCGATCCGTGAGTGTCCCGGGGCCCCAAAGAGGGCGAAATCGCCTGCTGCGAAAATTCACACGGCGCAAGAGACCAAGTGGAGCAGCCACACCAGAATTGAGCAGAGCAGCGCAAAATAAAACAGAGCATAACAAAAACATGGCTACGAGGGAGCCCACGAAAAAACGTATGGTACGCGCCCACCAAATTGTGAATTCACATCCGTGTCCATGAATGCAACGCTCTCTCACGCTCGTTGTTGCTCTGTGCTTGCATTGATGCACTCGTGCCGATGCTGTTCCTGGCTCTCTGTATGCCTACAGGGGGCCCCTTTGAGCACTGCTACTGTGCAGCCGCCTCGCATGATCGAGCAAAGATCGCGGGGCACCCATCTCATCCATCGAGGGCGCTGTGTGTCGGGCGCGCTCGTCATCATGGCACTGTTGCAGAAGAGTGTATCGCACACAAATGCACGAACAGGCCCCCCCAATCCGCGAAACCTTCCTCTTGATACGAAAATTCGTGCAAGGTGTTCTTCCTAAATCAACGTGGATTCATCTACGCTTACACCTTGGCTTGGATTGCAACTCATGGGAGCCTCCCATACCATCTGGTTGGTCCTTGCGTATCGACGCTCGTCGACGCCAGTCGACGTCAAGTCGACGCTAAACCGACGCTCCATCTACGCCATATCGGCGCTATCTCGTCAATTGCCGGACGCTGATCGACGCTAGAGACATCGAAAGGAAAACGGCATAACCATAAAATTTTGGCGTTCCGCGCTGATTCTCTTGGATCCGCGCTAAACCCCCCCCCTGAAGCGCGGAGCGCGCCAGGGGCGGCGCCGGAGGCGCCGCCGGTGGGGCCCAGCACGGACCCAAGAGTTCCCGGAGCGTCAAGAGTTTATGTCTGTGGCGGTTTCTCTTCTTCAGTGTATACTCTTCCGTCGCAGCCGCGGGCGAGCGCGCCAGCAGCGTCGAGGGTCCAGCGGGCCACGCGCGAACCTAATTGCCTAACGCCGTCAAGCCGGCGGCCTAAGCAGTACCTAAGCAGACTGGAGGCTTCCATGATTTTCGGGAGCGGCCAAGAGGGGGGTGTTCAAGAGGGGGGGGTGCAAATCATGACCGGCGGCATGTGCGCGGCCCAGCGGGGGGGCCAGGGACGTGATGAAATAAGAAGAGGCGCCATGATATCTGGGGAAATATCATGGCCCCCGCCATGATATCCACCCCCCCTAGTCATCACCCCCCTCTTTTCCGCCCCCGAGATTTGCTGCCGAGTACGTCCTTGCCTCGCTCCCGGAACCCAGGCACGGGGGCCGAGGGCACAGAGGGCCCGGCGCTCGAGGCCCTGGGCGGCCCCGGGGGCCACGAGGGGCGGCACGGCACCGCACCCTCGCGGAGAGAGCCCCGCCGGGGCCCCGCAGTGGAGCTGCCGGATCACCAGGGGAGCGAGCCCGGACCCCCCTCGCGTCGCGAAGAATAGCGACGGGAGGCTTCTCGCTGCTCGCGGCCTCCGGGGGCCCTCTGCGGGCTCTGGGCGCGTCAACAAAAACACGCAGGATAAAAACGCCGGTCCCGGGGACGGGGTCCAGACCTCTATGCGGCTCGACGTCAGGAACAAAAACATGACGTCGGGGGTCTGGGACTCGGAGGGCGACGGTGGGGGCGAATGGCTCGGGAGATTGCAGCGCATACTTCCAAGGGCGCCGATGATCCATGCCTTCGGCGAGGCTCCCGGGCGAATGCGTGGAATGCCCGCCACTGGACGATTTGCCCCTTCGCCGCCTCCGAGCAAAACACGCCGGAGCTTCGCGCGGATCTGCGCTGGACCCCCTCCCAAGCGCAAAAATCCAAGTTGCGTGTAGGCTCCTGCAAGGTCTGCTCGTCCGGGTTCTGGGCCCCCACCGGCCCCGAAACTTTGACCGAACTGGTCCCCGAGCACAAGCTTTAGGTCGGGTGTGTCCCCCTACAAGAAGATGTTGAACGAAAAGTGAAAAGTAGTCAAAAATAATTCAAACAAAAAACAGAACAATCCAAAAATCTTCCCCGTACTATTTGTTGGACTATTTTTGTATATTCCTCCTGTAGTGGGACACGCCCGACTTAACACAAGCTCTGAACATGCAGCGCACGCTTTGGCACGGCGGAGGACGCCTCGGCAGCGGTCGCCTTCAGCGCACCCGTCGTCGGCGAGAAGATGTGGGCGAACGCTGCTGGCGTTGGCCTGGCAACAGAGGAGGAGGAGGAGGAGGAGGAGGAGGAGGAGGAGGAGGGCGTGGATGAGGACATGAGGATCAGAATGATGGTGACGCGCAGGAAGAGAATGGCGAGGGAAGGCACAGGCAAAGCGGTGCCTACCCGTCCCACGGCTTCCTAGCGACAAGTCGTGGGGACGACGCCCAAGTATGGCGGGTGACTGCTCAAGCGATGCTGCGTGACGGTATTCATCCTTCATCCTGCTTGTCTCGCGCGAGTAACGGCTGCAAAACCCCATGGGGAAACAACATCCGATTGGCACCGAACTCTGACACGGAACCTTCCGCATCATGATGTGTCAGCGGTAGGGGAAGGGGAAGTACAAGCGAAAATATAGATGCCCCCTAGATGGGGTCGGAGTAGATGGGGTCGGGGGATCGCGCCGCATCGCCGATGCACCGGCGACGCATCGTCGACGCACCGGCGACGCATCGGCGACGCCGACGTGGAGCGAGTCGGGCTCCACATCGAGCCGCATCGGCGATGCATCGGCGATGCGGCGCGATCCTCCGACCCCGCCTGCTCGGACCCCATCGGGAGGCCTGGAGTATCGACGGGAGGGGGCAGGAGGAGGAGGAGGGAGGAGGAGAGGAGGAGGAGGAGGAGGAGGAGGGAGGAGGAGGAGGAGGAGGAGGAGGAGGAGGGAGGGAGGAGGAGGAGGAGGAGGGAGGAGGGAGGAGGAGGGGGAGGGGGAAGCAAAAGAGCGTAGACCTATGCTCACGGTCCCGTGGAGGCGGCGCGTGGGCACCGGAGAACCACCGATCCTGCACGGCGGCCCCGAGGCGTGGGGCCAGATTTGGGTCGGGCACTCCTCCTCCTCCTCCTCCTCCCCCTCCTCCTCCTCCTCCTCCTTCCTCCTCCTCCTCCTCCTCCTCCTCCTCCTCCTCCTCCTCCTCCTCCTCCTCCCTCCTCCTCCTCCTCCTCCTCCTCCTCCTCACCCTCCTCCTCCTGCAGGGCGCGGGTCTTGGGCGAAAGGGGGGATAGCAAAGGGGGGGTTTGAGAATCGGCTCACGTAGCTGATTTTCCCGGCGCCTCCCGGCGCCGGAGGCGGTCACGTGTCGAGGAATGGGCACCTCGGTGAGGCCGAAACCAGCTGCATGCAGCAAATTTCGTCCCCCCCCCCCCTTTCCCAATCCCCCCCTTTCGCCCGGCCCGATACAGGCGGATCTTGGGCGGGGCTTGAAAAACAGTCCAAATACATACCTCAAAGTATAGCCAAACACAGTGGAGAAGCATCGTCCCCAGTGTGTGTTTTTCTGGACTATCTTTGAATCTTCCTCCTGTGGAGGGACAGGCCCGACTTCAGCATGGGGCCATGAGTATCGTTTATCCGATCCCCATCCCCAGCGGCGTGGGCTGGGCCCCAGCGGCCGATGTGCTCCCCTAGATGGGGATATAGGCCGCCCCCTTCGAGCTTCGAGGGCTGTATCCGCAACTTGGGGGGGGGTCAGTTGACGGGGGTCTCCAAGGGGATGGGGATGGGGATGGGGATTGGTTAAACTCGGGGCTCTTCTGACCCGGGTCAATCCAGACCCGGGTCAGCAGGAAACCAAAAACTGCAATGCAGGAAACAAAACTGCAACGCAGGAGGTCTTCGCAAACCCGGGTCAGCCAATAGGCGCGGCCGCCCCGCGGCCACGAGCGGCTCCCTAACCCGGGTCAGCCACAGGGGGTCTTCGCAGGATCCTGCAGGACCCTGGGCCGCCGGGCGCCGGGTGCCGCCGCTCCTCCCGGCCCCCCCCCTCTCCCCCTCCACGCCCTCGCTGTGCGCCGCGCCCAGCGCTCCGCCTCCCCCTCCTCCGTCTTGCTTTTTCGGTCGGGCATGTCCCCCCACAGGCCGACTTAGAGCGAACAATGGCAGACTTGCTTTCGGTGGGGCATGTCCCCCCACAGGCCGATTCCGAGCGAACCATTGCAGATACTCCAAACAAATGTTCAAAACACAGTCACAAAACATGATGGCAAATCGTCCCCGCACCATGTCTTGACGATGTACACGATTGCTCCTGCAGAGAGACGTGCCCGACTTAGGTCTTGCTTTATGTTGTTCCCATTGCATTGTACTTCAGGAACGACCGCATCCCAGAAACACGTTCGAGCACACCCCGAACAAACGGTGTCTGCCCGACACGCCGGCGAGGTGCCGAACGAGTAGTGATCGCCTCCCAGAGCCCGACGCGTGAAAACCGTCCAGTGTCGATCATTTCTTGGTGCTCGAAATTATTTCTGGTGGTCGAGGCTAAATTGGGTTGGGACATCATAACTCTTGCTGCCCACCTCCTTCTCATCTGACTCCTTCCTTTCCCTCTCGACGACGCCGACCACGACGAGGTCCACGACGACGCCGTCGACGTCGTCCACGCAGTCGACGACGACGGCCTCAGCTCTCGCCCCGCTGCTGTCTCGCGAACAACCGTGGCATTCCCGAGGCGGACGGAAAGACGGGGATAGCAAAGCGGCGATTCAGCTTATGCAGCTGGCTTCCCAGCGGCGCCTCACGGCGCCCATGTATCGATGAAATCACCTGGCGCTGGGTTCGAAACATGGGAAACACAAAATACTCGATATCGCTACTCCGCGGCAATCTGACCAGATGTCCGAGGAGAATCCAGCGGTGGCAACGAAGGCTCTCCGAGACGAGCCGCGGCATCGGCATCCGTTCCTCCTCTGAGAAAAAACGACTGCACGCAGCAGCTTTCGATAGCACCCCTGCCCGACGCCCCCTTTTACGTCCGGCCTTGGCCGTCCCGCCGCCCGAGGCAAGAGAGCGGGCACGGCGCACCTGTCGCCAGCAAAAGCCGTAGGCGAGGGCGACTCCGACGGCGACGGCGAGGGCGACGCCACGTCGCTGTAGCAGGGGCTGAGCTGAGCCTGGCAAGAGGGGAAGTGGGAAGAGAGGAGAAGGCAAGCCAGGTGCGAGCACGCGAGCCTTGCGCCACACGGCGCGCGAGCGAGGTGAAATCGAACGTCGCGACGTCGGATTACGGCGCTGCCCGGTGTCGCTCAGGCGCCCTGATTTCACTACCAATTCCCACGACGCTGCCGCCCCGCCTGCTTGGGGAGGAGTGAGCTAAGTGCGCACGCCATATCTGACATCCTACCCTTCCCGCCCATGCCCTCACCTTGCCCAGATCCGCCATCGGGTGACCTGACGGACCTGGCCCCCCCAAAATGACCCCTATCGTGCGATGCGCAATCAAGAAGGGGAGCTCCGTAGTTACAGTGGAGGGAGAGGGGGAAGTGGCGGAGGAACAAGAAGGACAAGAACAAGAAGGAGGAAAGGACAAGAAGGACAAGAAGGACAAGAATGACAAGAAAAAGGACAAGGACAAGAAGGACAAGAACAAGAAGGAGGAAAGGACAAGCAGGAAGAGGAGGACAACAAGGAGGAAAAGAAGGCGCGGCAGCAGCAGGAGGGCCAGGGGTCTGCGGAGGGAACCAGCAGAGGGGGCGACAGCGACGAGAGAGGATCGGATCGGAGACGTGGCCCGCGATGGGGCGAGATCACCATTCCGAACGACGGGAGCGAAGCGCCGATCCTGGAATAAGGCCAACGCGGAGACGTCCCAGGCCCCCTCCAAGAGACCCCCAAGAAGCCCCATGAGGCCCCCACGAGGCTTCCAAGCGGCCCCTAAGAGCTTCCCAAGAGGCCCACAGACTACCCCCAAGAGGCCCCCAAGAGCGCCCGTCGTCGTCGTCGTCGTCGCCATTCAGGGTCGGCGGCACCGGCTGTAAGGCCTTCGCAATAAGGCCAACGCGGCAGCGGGAACAACGTTTTGCAGCCATACCAGCAACGTTCCGACTGCAAATCATACGTGCATGATGCTGTCGGAGGACCTAGACGCATGCAGCTGTGAGTAGCGCAAGAGGGAAACGTGATGCGAAAATGACCATTGGAGCCTGCGGTTGAGCTCCCAGTAGGCCACGACCCGTATGATATGTGTATTTGTGCATGTGTGCCGAAATGGGCCGGGAGGGGGGGGACGCATGCGAACATGCCCCCTGGGGCCTTCGGCTGAGCTCCTGATGAGGCATCGGAGCGTGTGAGGAGAGCGCCGCATATGGGCAACGGAGACGTTCTGTTGCATCCTCGGGGACCTTGTCTGTCCCGTCGCGTCCCCATCCGCGTCAGATCCGTGTCGAAGCCGTGTCGCATCCGCGTCGAATCCACGCCAAGTCCACGTCGAGTCCGCATCGAGCCCACCTCGGGCACGGGAAAAGACTCAAGTTTCTGGGAAGGGCGAGGTCCCCCGAATACAGAGGGGGCCCGACCACAAGAAACCTTCCGCAAGACACCCAACCCTGAGACCCCAGGACGTCCATTGATTTTGGGCGCGGGAACGTCACGCTTTCCATAGCCAAACCGTCGAAAACCAGGAAGTCCAGGGCACCCTGGAGGCGACCATGGTGTTTCTTGGCATGGACCTCCAAAGTATGCAACGGAAGGGACGCATGTGCGAACATGCCCACAGGAGGGGCCTTCGGCTCAAACTCCCCATGGGCCCGTGGGCTGAAGAAGACCTGCGCGACGAGCAGGAGAGGGGAAGGAAGGGGGACGAGGAGGAGGAGGAGGAGGAGGAGGAGGTGAAGGAGGAGGAGGAGGAGGGGGGGAGGAGA